CCTGCTTGCGAGTCAAACTAGAGACGTTCGGTTTTATCTAGGGCCTCTGGTCTAGGACTCCCGCAGGTGGTCATACCGAACAGCAAACAATTATCGAGGTTTACTACGAACAAGGGAATGACTCATCCTCGCTCGTCAGCCGTAATCAAAATGCGGTCCGAGAGAACCTGAAATACGAGCCTGACCTCCGCTCGCCATCGAGCCAGACGGTCGCCTAGGTGGGTTAGAATGAAGTACATGAACACATGTGCGTGAGGTTGTGACTTGTCTGTTTGCCTGTCTGGCAGGTCGGATCTTATTTCGTAGCCGTACCTGCAGTAGAAAAGTCCTAGCCTAACCCCTAACCCTGGCCCCAACCCCTAACTCCTAACAGGTACGGCTGCGAAATAAGATCTTGCCGTCTGCTGAATGACCACCTGAACTGGGGATGAGACCTCAGATCTTTCGAACACCCGGTTGGAGTATGGTTCTGATAGACCAGAGCGAATAAGTCCGACGTTATAATTCGAGTTCGCCTTTTCTTCAGCGATACTACTTTTAAAACTATTGAACTCGTGATTACGACAAATGTTTCCTATTTAATGATTGCGACTACTCCGAGGGGAAGAAGAAGACCCGGCAGAGTTTAAGACTGTGATCTGGAGCGATCGGTACGACTACAAGTGCAGTCCAGATCCCTTCGATAGAGGCTGTCACAACACAGCGTCTAACAAAGTTGGAGCTTGCGGAAACTGTAACGTTTTTAAAATAAGAAACAAATGTTTTCTCCAGAGATGAGGTACTAGATATGGATTCCGGTAAGTTTAAGTAAAACTACGCGTACAAGCGTAATAACGTTGAGTTCTGGAATGTCGGAACACGGTTACTAATCCAAACTGAAAATGCACGAGAAAACTTTCTCCGCGCTGTCCCCTGAACCCTGTTTTTGGCGGATTTTTTTTTTGGGGGGGGGGGATTGGTAAGTTAAAGTGCGCCAGATGTATTGACGTAGTGACGAGTGCGTTAATTTACTACGATGGCCAATTCCCACTCAGTATTAGCTCCCTGTCCCTTGCCTCTCCCATCCACCAGCCAACTCTCCCCACCGCTTAACCCACTCATGGCGATATTCGACACAGTAGCCTGAAAGCCCTTCTTTGCGCGTGCCAATACACGGACTGATTTTCATTCCCACATCACCAGACCTCACCTGGATACACACTTCTCACGTGAATGAAATGCGCACATTCTCGCACAGGATGTTCTACTTGTCAAAACGACATTGACAACTCCCATGTCATGATTGTGACACGAGTGACATGCAACGTCTGGCTGATAATTGACGTGAATGAGCGTGTGGTCGAGTTATCTCATGCGTAGGCTAGGTGTGTTCGGGTGAAGAGGCTTTGTAAGGAGATTTCAGCTGGGTTGTTCTTCTAAAAGTTTTCATAGGACCACGTAGGCCCTGGTGACTGTTCGACTGTCCCAAGTCAAGGCGATCGGGGGTGGATGCGACGCAGTGATTAACAAGGTTAAATATCCCGCACACGTGTATTACACTCGAAATGGTCCACACGACACGTACCAAATACATCAGCGCATTACTCACTATGATGAAACTGACACGCTTGAGGCTGTCATGACAAGCTAATTGTCGTAGCGAGTTGACGGGCTAACTCGCTTCTCCTCAGTACTCAGAGCCAGGCTGGATTCGTTCATTCTTAATTTGGCCTGCATGAATGAGTAACATTCCCGTGGCCCTAGACGCCCACTTTCGGCAGTTGAAACGTTGTCTTGTCGTGCGAATGTAGTGGGTGTGCGAAGAGGGAATGAGTGTGATAGACGCAACGAATGTCCTCTTCCCTGCAAATTTCTTCGCGTTCACGTAACTCCTGCGCTCATATCGTATGACACAGCTGAATCTCAGCGCTTGCGACGGTCAGTCTGTCGTCTAGCATTAAAGAACCAGACAACAAGAGAAGTACAGAG